AGGCAACCCTGTTCCTGGAATGTCGCAGCTACTGCAGGATTTTGTTCCAACTAGGCACCACACATCACTAACTGAGCTAATTGATCAGTTCACTGATTTCCAAAATTCAACACACCTAGTCTTCCAGGTCAGTTAAATCAAAAACATGAAGTGCCTGCGGTACTCCAGGACCAGGGTTGCCTACCCCTGTCCTACAGTGATGCTTTGTCCCCTCTCCATCTCAATCACATGTCAATGGTTCAGAGCGACACAGAATGAACTGAGAACTGAGAGCTGTCTATGCAGCATGTCCATGTTCAGCTGCATGGTGGTGGCTCACAGTCACATTTCATTTCTGATTAAGAGGTGTTGAGGAGAGGATCCATTCCTCAGGATCCTGGATCTATTACAGCTCAGGAAGGCAGCTGTCCAACCTCACTGTCACATATGTTTGATACTTTATGATGCAAGTGGGCCAATTAGAGAAGTCCTGTGGGAACAGTTGGCGGTGCTCACACTCCCTCACACACTCACCCGCTCACCCGCTTTCTCACATATTTATTTTGATATCTCTTCTGAAGTGCTTCTGACAGTCTGTTTGACATATTTAATATATGCAGGGCATCTGCTGTTGAACAGATGGGGCATTTCTATGAAGATGTATATAGCCTATAAAATAATGACAATTTTGCCATCAACCTTTGTTTAATTTGTCTTGTATACATATACAGCCATATTGAAAGACAAACCAGCGCCATGACATGAAAAACAGAAAAAAAACAGAAACAGAACACTGTCACACTGACAGTCACAAATGTGACAGCCCATACAGTGCAAGCCCCTTGCAGTTGTTATATGTCTCTGGTGGGAGACTCAGTTCCCCAGGGTCCTATTAACCCATTCAGGCAGGGTAATTAGCATCCATTGGGGACGCAGTAGATACAAGACTTATGATGTTTCTGCTTTCACTGGAGATGGCCCACTGGGCACAGACATCAATTAAATGTCTAGACCATTCCAAGTCTAGCCCATTCCACGTTGGTTCAACATAATTCCATTGAAATGACATGGAAACAATGTTGATTCAACCAGTGTGTGCCCATTGGGGACTTCACCGTTTAAACGCGATCTACTTAGTTAACACAATCCTAATTTGGGGGGATCCTCTTCATAAAATTAATTACATTGTTTATAATGTATTGTCTAGTTTACCTAGACTACTTAACGTTCTCTACATGGAGGCAGATTGTTTTGTGGATATGTTGCAGTAATTTTTTGAAAAGTGTCAGTGCGTCACTGAAAACATTTAGCCAAAAAGCGTGTGCTTAAACCTTTCCCCTGCATACTGGGAAACCTAGAGGTCCACCGCAGAGACGCTTGTCTTGATGTGTGTTGTGTGTGGTGATACGCATGCGTTGTCAGACCCGGAGTCTGCAGAATGCAGCGCTTCGGAGACACGAGCATGTGTCACAGTGCGCTACGAGCAGCTGAAGCGCAGTGTTACAATGAGCTTCTCCATCCCACCGGCTGATACCCACCCACACTGCCGTCCTCCGATAAGCAGAATCAAAGCCGTCCACCATCCTGACCACCACCGCCTGGCCCCAGAATGCCTGGGGGAAAGAGAGGGCTTGTAGCACCGCAGAATACTTTTTTGGAAAACATTGTCCGGCGCTCAAGTGGTAAGCAATGTACCTGTTCGTGGACTATCATAACAGAAAGCTTTCAATAGTACTTTTGTCCAAAAGATAATTATAGTCTATTCATTTTCTTTTATACGACTTGTGTTTAGCTTGTTAAAATGATCTAGTTGTTTGTTTACAAAGTTTATTCCACGGTCATGCCAAAGCGAATTGTCGGTCATCATGGTAGTGCATTTAGGCTTCTGTATGGGATAGGCTGCCAGTAAGGTTGCACGAAAATTACATTTATTTGGGTGAATATAAAATATATTTATGTAGGGGAGACTGGGGTAAATTAAGCCAAAGGGGTACGTTTAGCCACCCTTGTTTCTAGGAAACCATACACAGAATGTATAATTTTACCAAAATTTTTTAGGAAAAGGTCATAATTTTGTGGAGTCTGTGAAGGAAAAAACCACATGGATAAAAAAACAACAAGTTAAGTCCAAAAAACTGATTTTCACCAAGTCAAATGAATGTATTGTGTTAGAGGTTTCATGATGCTCATATCTAAACACCAAAGTAGATAATTTAAAGATTGATCTATACATAATGCCTGAAGCTCCTGGAAAAACATGGAAAGTAACACATTAAATGCCCCCTTCTATGTACAACAGGGATGGGCAATTTTGATGGGGGTGTGGAGAACAAATAATCTGAACTCATCATGAGGGGCTGCAATGGTCTGCATACCCACATCCATACTGAGCCGGCACTAGCCTTTTGGGGGCCCTAAGTGACATTTTGTTGTAGACTAATCTACTAATCTAAAATGTTTTTGCTGAGATGGGCTAATTGAGTGACTGTCAGTGACTGACATAACAAGAGGAAAACTGCTGATGCAGAACCAAATTTCGAAATTGCACCTTGTGTATTCTATTATTCTAACTCCAAGTTCTTTTTTGGGTGAAATTGATCCGCGGGCCTACAAAAGGGGCCCCACGGGCCGCATCCACCAGTTGCCCATCCCGGTTCGATACATCAGTCGGGGTCTCTATAAGCTCAATATGAGGTCCTAAACCTAGCCTGTGTTAAAAGATGCTTAAAATGATTAAAAGACAAAAAAGCGATTATGATTGTGTTGAATTGTGTTTGGGAAATAAAGATAGACATGGTTTTAAAGGGTAGTGGTTATATTTAAATAAGTACAGAAATGTGTAGGCGGCTTAACTTACCCTGTCCCGTGGCTCAACTTACCCTGGGGTACGTTGTGCCAGGAGACCACATTTTTTGAACAAGTTTTTTTTTTTTTAACTATAATATTTACATTAATTCTGATTATTTCCAGGGATACACAACATCCTGAAATATATGTAGATATCTTTGTTAGAAATAATATTATATTTCCCTTGATGGAGTGATGCTGAATGTAAAAAATGTCTCAACTTACCCCACTCTACAGATACAGTATATTTATGTGTATTGTTTTAGTTATTATTTAACTATTTACAGTTCATTTTATGTAAAAAAATAGAAAGCAATAGCTTAGTTTACAATCCATTCCGGAGACCCTGTTTACAATCCGGGGACATAATTTCTTCTGCCAGACTTTCTGGGGACCCCATATCTTTTCCCAATAATTTCTTGTGACCTCACCCCACTCCATAATGACACAACCTTAAAATGTATATTTTTACATCAACAAATAACCTTCTCAATTCATTGCATTTTCATATCTTATCAAAATGAAAAGAAACCAATAAATACATTTACTCAATTATTATTATTATTATTATTTTTTTTTTTTGGTGACCCCACTGCAGTTCCCCTATGACCCCACTAGGGGTCGCGACCCTAACTTTGAATACCACTTCTTAGACTATTCTCTTATTTACTACATGACCAAAAGTATGTCGACACTTGCTCGTTGAACATCTCATTCCAAAATCATGTGCATTAGTATGGAGTTGGTCCCCCCTTTGCTGCTATAACAGCCTCCACTCTTCTGTTGGAACATTGCTGTGGGGACTTGCTTCCATTCAGCCACAAGAGCATTAGTGAAGTCGGGCACTGATGTTGGGTGATTAGGCCTGGCTCGCAATTCATCCTAAAGGTGTTCGATGGGGTTGAGGTCAGGGCTCTGTGCAGGCCAGTCAAGTTCTTCCACACCAATCTCGACAAACCATTTATGTATGGACCTCGCTTTGTGCACGGGGGCATTGTCATGCTGAAACAGGAAAGGGCTTTCCCCAAACTGTTGCCACAAAGTTGGAAGCATAGAATTGTCTAGAATGTCATTGTATACTGTAGCGTTAGGATTTCCCTTCACTGGAACTAAGGGGCCCAGCCCAAACCATGAAAATCAGCCCCAGACCATTATTCCTCCTCCACCAAACTTTACAGTTGGCACAATGCATTGGGGCAGGTAGCATTCTCCGGGCATCCGCCAAACCCAGATTAGTCTGCCGGACTGCCAGATGGTGAAGAGTGATTCATCACTCCAGAGAACGTGTTTCCACTGCTCCAGAGTCCAATGGCCACAAGCTTTACACCACTCCAGCCGACGCTTGGCATTGCGCATTGTGATCTTAGGCTTGTGTGTGGCTGCTCGGCAGCACAATTGGAAACCCATTTTATGAAGGTCTTGACGAACGGTTCTTGTGCTGACGTTGCTTCCAGAGGCAGTTTGGAACTAGGAATCCTATGAGGTGGCATCCTATGACTGGGCCACGTTGAAAGTCACTGAGCTCTTCAGTAAGGCCATGCTACTGCCAATGTTTGTCGATGGAGATTGCATGGCTGTTTGCTCGATTTTATACACCTGTCAGCAAAGGGTGTGGCTGAAATAGCCGAATCCACTAATTTTAAGGGGTGTCCACATACTTTTGTATATATCGTGTATTTGGCTGATTGTAGTTTGTGTAGGGTATATCACTTCTTGGTAAAGTGTTAGCCTATAGGCTTTATAAAGATGCAGTAAAACAGAAAATGCTTTTTATTACTTAACTGATTGAGCATCAATTATTTTATTTTAAATCATTAGCCTCCCTAATTTTAAATAAGTATCATGCAGTTGTAGGCTGTTGTAAGGATAATAGAGCTTGTTATTTATCTCCTCAAGTTGAATTAATCACTCTACTTGTTTGTCAGTAAAACTGCAGCAGCTGAGCTATAGAATCCTTAATGCAGAGACTGGCGTGGACTTGGCAGTAGAATTCATGCATAATATATGCTGTAATCTGTCCCTCTCCGATTGATGCATGGTTGTTGTTGTGAACATAGAACAAGCTACTGAGTGTAGTGACGTAATTGTGTGGAACAAAAAAAGAGACATTTGAGGGATACGTCATCACTGTGTTGGGCTACATTGTGTGGGGTCCCTAACCACACAAGTCACCAATGGGTTGTGCCAGCCCATTTGAGTGTTGTAGCTTTTTACATCAGAGCCCTCACCTTCAACACACACACACACCTGCTTCACCGACCTTTCCTCTCCTCACAGAGACCAGCTTCCTCCTGGGGAATGCCCAGATCGTGGAGTGGCCTGTAGTCTACAGTAATGATGGATTCTGCAAGCTCTCAGGGTTCCACAGGGCTGAGGTTATGCAGAAGAGCAGCACTTGCAGGTAAGGATGGTTCTTGTATGGTAGTATTGTAATCATTTTATTATTACCTTTGTATGTGTACAGTATTTTCTGTTATAGATGACCACTAAACCACTAGAATGCTTTGAAAAGGGCCTTCATGAAGTGAAGTCAGTCATTTTATCGCCTGAGCGGTCTGAACATCCCATTACAAGAGTCTCACTGAAAAACACTCAACATCTGGCATTCCACTAGTACTGAATGAGTGCCTGTATTGCCTGCTGATCATAGAAAGAGTTTCAAATGGAATCAATTACTGTTGTAAAGGAGAACCAGTCAGTCCGCCCCAGTGTGAGGCCATCTAGGTCACTCTCATTCAAATGTTTAAAATATGACTCCAAAAGCCAACGGCTCTTCTTCACTTGAGGTTTTCCTGACTTCGCCCAGGGCTAAGTGCTTGTTAATCTAGGGGCTAAAGCCATCCTTCAAATCTGATTATATGGGAGTGGAGGATCATCGACCTTAACCTCAGGCTATCTGATCTCACTCCTGCTCAGAAAAGGGTAGTCTAGTGGTGTGTGGTAAACTCAGGAACCACAGGAGCAGGTTTGTTGACTGATCTCACACTTAAAATGACCAGTATAAGTTAGAACATCCAGAGCCTATGAAGAGGAGCTGAGATTTTATGATGATGATTCATAACACTGTCATTAACATCTTTAATTGATGCCTTATGACATCTGGCATATAGAACGGTGGTTAAAGGGAACTGTAGTTAAGGGTCCCCCCCCCAAAAAAAAGGCACTTCTCTTTTCCCACTTGCACAGACTTTGCTGATAAATACTTTGTTGTAGGAAAATGTACATGTTACGATTGTGATGTGTTGTTGTCTCACCTAGCTATCTTAAGATGAACTAATTGTAAGTCGCTCTGGATAAGAGCGTCTGCTAAATGGCTAAAATGTAAATGTACAAATATGTCAGATGACTAATCCTTTTGATTTTATTTGTTACTTTTCTTCCAGTTTTATGTATGGAGAGCTGACGAACAAGAAGACGATAGACAAAGTCAGAGAGACCTTTGATAATTATGAGTCCAACTGCTTTGAGGTCCTGCTATACAGGAAGAACAGTGAGTGTTCCAATTTAATTGTTCCCATTGTATATGTACTGTATACTATTGTATTGTGTACAGTGTTGTAAAAAGTACCCAATTGTCATAGTTGAATAAAGGCAAAGATAATAGAAAATGACCCAAGTAAAAGTGAAAGTCACCCAGTAAAATACTACTTGAGTAAAAGTCTAAAAGTATTTGGTTTTAAATATACCTATGTATCAAAAGTAAAAGTAAAAGTATGAATCATTTCAAATTCCTTATATTAAGCAAACCAGTAGGCACAATTTTTATTTTATTTTTATGGATAGCTAAGGGCACACTCCAACACTCAGATATAATTTACAAACGAAGCATTTGTGTTTACTGAGTCTGCCATATCAGAGGCAGTAGGGATGAGCAGGGATGTTCTCTTGATAAGTGTGTGAATTGGACCATTTTCTGTCCTGATAAGCATTCAAAATGTAACGAGTACTTTTGGGTGTCAGGGAAAATGTATGGAGTAAAAAGTACATTATTGTCTTTAGGAATGTAGTAAAGTAAAAGTAAAAGTTGTCAAAAATATAAATAATAAAGTAAAGTACAGATACCCAAAAAAACTACTGAAGTAGTACTTAAGTACTTTACACCACTGATTGTATAGAAAGGAAAAGGTTAACAAAATGTAATGTGCACCTTATGAGAAAAGCAATTGTTACTACTACATTGTAAATAATCCATTCTGTTTGCAGGGGCGCCAGTGTGGTTCTACATGCAGGTGGCCCCCATCAGGAATGAGAATGACAAAGTGGTTCTCTTCCTGTGCACCTTCAAAGACATCACTGTCTTCAAGCAGCCCATCAAGGATGAGTCCACTAAGGATAAGGACGAGTCCACTTCAGGTAAGTCTCTCAATGGGTCTCAATCATGCTGAGCTGTGGCTATTGGCTTGTTATGATGAGCCAGTCTATGAATTATTGGAAATTAAAAGGTCTTGTGGCTGATGTGGTCAGAACCTACAGAAGAGGTGGGTGTTTTCCCCCTCTCCTCCTATGTGATGTACGTTGTCAGGTTTTTGCCCATGATTAACATAGGCTTTACATGCTGTTAATGTTGGGAGCAGGTTGACCAGACAGTTGACATGACAGTCAGGGATATTGTCATAAGATGTTATGGTGTACTTAACTTGACTTTAAGTACATTTTGGGCTTTTGGGACAAGTCAAATGACATGTATAGTTTTATACATTCCATTCATATATTTTACAAATCAAATCATACAGTCTCAATTTACAATTTAACATTCAAAGTTCAAAATGTACTGTAAACTCCCAAAATGAAGTTGTTTTTTTACAGTTGAAGTCGGAAGTTTACATCGTAGCCAAAGTTCAGGCCTTTCAAACAAGTGTGGGGGGCATTACATGTGAAGAATGGGGTGTTATGCCTTGAGAGTCAAAACTATGAGAAAGACGACACCATCTGGAGAGGGGTTGTACCAGATGAGCTCGTACATGAGATACTTACAGTTGAAGTCGGAAGTTTACATACACCTTAGCCAAATACATTTAAACTCAGTTTTTCACAATTCCTGACATTTAATCCCAGTAAAAATTCCCTGTTTTAGGTCAGTTAGGATCACCACTTTATTTTAAGAATGTGAAATGTCAGAATAATAGTAGAGAGAATGATTTATTTCAGCTTTTATTTCTTTCATCACATTCCCAGTGGGTCAGAAGTTTACATATACTCAATTAGTATTTGGTAGCATTGCCTTTAAATTGTTTAACTTGGGTCAAACGTTTCGGGTAGCCTTCCACAAGCTTCCCACATTAAGTTGGGTGTATTCAAATCAAATCAAATCAAATGTTATTGGCCACATGCACCGAATACAACAGGTGCAGACATTACAGTGAAATGCTTACTTAAAGCCCTTAACCAACAGTGCATTTATTTTTAATAAAAAAGTAAAATAAAATAACAACAAAAAAGTACTCTGTTAATTATTTATGCTTAGTCACTTTAACTCTACCCACATGTACATATTACTTCAACTACCTCAACTAGCCGGTGCCCCCGCACATTGACTCTGCACCGGTACCCCCCTGTATATATAGCCTTCCTACTGTTATTTTATTTTACTTCTGCTCTTTTTTTTATTTTACTTTTTTATTAAAAGTAAATGCACTGTTGGTTAAGGGCTGTAAGTAAGCATTTCACTGTAATGTCTGCACCTGTTGTATTCGGCGCAAGTGGCCAATACAATTGGGGTGGGGGGCAGTGCAAATAGTCCGGGTAGCCATGATTAGCTGTTCAGGAGTCTTATGGCTTGGGGGTAGAAGCTGTTGAGAAGTCTTTTGGACCTAGACTTGGCACTCCGGTACCGCTTGCCGTGCTGTAGCAGAGAGAACAGTCTATGACTAGGGTGGCTGGAGTCTTTGACAATTATGAGGGACTTCCTCTTACACCGCCTGGTATAGAGGTCCTGGATGGCAGGAAGCTTGGCCCCAGTGATGTACTGGGCCGTACGCACTACCCTCTGTAGTGCCTTGCGGTCGGAGGCTAAGCAGTTGCCATACCAGGCGGTGATGCAACCAGTCAGGATGCTCTCGATGGTGCAGCTGTATAATTTTTTGAGGATCTGAGGACCCATGCCAAATCTTTTCAGTCTCCTGAGGGGGAATAGGCTTTGTCGTGCCCTCTTCACGACTGTCTTGGTGTGTTTGGACCATGATAGTTTGTTGGTGATGTGGACACCAAGGAACTTGAAGCTCTCAACCTGTTCCACTACAGCCCCGTCGATGAGAATGGCGGCGTGCTCAGTCCTCTTTTTTCTTCCTGTAGTCCACAATCATTTCCTTTGTCTTGGTCACGTTGAGGGAGAGGTTGTTATCCTGGCACCACACGGCCAGGTCTCTGACCTCCTCCCTATAGGCTGTCTCATCGTTGTCGGTGATCAGGCCTACCACTGTTGTGTCGTCGGCAAACTTAATGATGGTGTTGGAGTCGTGCCTGGCCATGCAGTCATGGGTGAACAGGGAGTACAGGAGGGGACTGAGCACGCACCCCTGAGGGGCCCCTGTGTTGAGGATCAGTGTGGCAGATGTGCTGGCCCATTCCTCCTGACAGAGCTGGTGTCCATTTTGCCACCACTTTGGAAGTATGCTTGGAGTCATTGTCCATTTGGAAGACCCATTTGCGACCAAGCTTTAACTTCCTGACTGATGTCGAGATGAAACTTCAATATATCCACATCATTTTCCTTCCTCATGATGCCATCTATTTTGTGAAGTGCACCAGTCTCTCCTGCAGCAAAACACCCCCACAGCATGATGCTGCCACCCCCGTGCTTCACAGTTGGGATGGTGTTCTTTGGCTTGCAAGCTACACCACTTTTTCCTCCAAACATAACGATGGTCATTATGGCCAAACAGTTCTATTTTTGTTTCATCAGACCAGAGGACATTTCTCCAAAAAGTACGATATTTGTCCCCATGTGCAGTTGCAAACCGTAGTCTGGCTTTTTTATGGCGGTTTTGGAGCAGTGGCTTCTTCCTTGCTGAGCGGCCATTCAGGTTATGTCGATATAGGACTCGTTTTTACTGTGGATATAGATACTTTTGTACCTGTTTCCTCCAGCATCTTCACAAGGTCCTTTGCTGTTGTTCTGGGATTGATTTGCACTTTTCGCACCAAAGTACATTCATTTCTAGGAGACAGAACGCGTCTCCTTCCTGAGCGGTATGACGGCTGCGTGGTCCCATGGTGTTTATACTTGTGTACTATTGTTTGTACAGATGAACGTGGTACCTTCAGGCATTTGGAAATTGCTCCCAAGGATGAACCAGACTTGTGGAGGTCTACAATTATTTTTCTGAGGTCTTGGCTGATTTATTTTGGATTTTCCCATGATGTCAAGCAAAGAGGCACTAAGTTTGAAGGTAGGCCTTGAAATACATGCACAGGTACTCCTCCAATTGACTCAAATGATGTCAATCAGAAGCTTCTAAAGCCATGATATCATTTTCTGGAATTTTCCAAGCTTTTTAAAGGCAAAATCAACTTAGTAAACGTCTGACCCACTGGAATTGTGATACAGTGAATTATAAGTCAAATAATCTGCCTGTAAACAATTGTTGGAATAATTACTTGTGTCATGCACAAAGTAGATGTCCTAACCGACTTGCCAAAACTATAGTTTGTTAACAAGAAATTTGTGGAGTGGTTGAAAAACGGGTTTTAATGACTCCAACCTAAGTGTATGTAAACATCCGACTTCAACTGTAGACTGACGGGAGCCCTACTTCCTTTTGTGTTCCCACCCTCAAAGGCAGGCTTTTCAAAACAGGGACAGTACTAGTTTCTACAGGTTTACCGGAACTATGTTACCGTGCATTGTCTATCTGAGATGGCTAGCTAAATAATTACAATGGCTGCTTCTGATGATTCCTCTTTCCAAGAAGAGCTGGACGACAAAACCGTTTTTGATGTTCCTATACTAACATAGGGACATACTGCCATATTCATTTGAGCCAAAATACACTGAAGAGGAGTTGAGACAGCGAGAACAAGAATCGTAAGACCAGCAAGCAGCAATTGGGAGCTGGTGCCTATGGAGGTGCTGTCCAGCCTGCCGACAGAAGAGGAATGTCTGTGATGCAACTAATTAGATTGCGGACAGTTCTAACTGGGAAGGGTCACTGCAGACCCCATGGAACGTGTGTGTGACAGACCATCAAATTAGACGCACAGATGGATAGAGGTGTGCTGGAGACATTCTTCAGAACCTCCTAGATCAATTGGCAGTGGCAGCCTAGACCAGCTGGACCAGGAGGGCAAATTACAAACTAGTAAGTTTTGTTGGTAGCTAGCTAGCAATATAGCTAAGCTCTCTTTTTACACGAGGCAGTGTTGTTCAGTACAGTATAATCAATGATTTTTTTTATAACTAACCCTAATTGTTCTATCTGTGGTATAATTTCGTGATCAATTCAGCCATAACGGGGCTTGCTAGTACCACTACAAGCCAAGCTAGCCAAGTTGAGCTAGGTAGCTTTGTTTGCTATACCCAAAATGTACTGTAGCCTAATGTTATAGCTAGCTAGCTAACATTAGCTAGCCTTGCTAGCGTTATTGCATCTCATTAGGGCTAGGAGCAATACTGGAGAAATGTTTTGATGATGATGACAAAGAGTAAAGGAATGACTTTGGCTTTAAAGACCCAATAATGAGCCGAATGAGCTACTGTTGCCTACCATTGAATGTCTGACTGACGTGTCGTGATACCACCGCCTGACTAACGCCTGCGTGACGCCTGCATCTTAAAAAATAGCACTGAGCTATGTTGTTCATTATATAATAGTCAGGCTCTCAACTGTGGGAGGGTTTACACAGCAAAAAACGTTGGGTTATTTTTACAACCCAATATATGGGTTACAGGTGTTGGGTTGTTTTGTTGGGTTATTTTCTGCTTGTTTGGTAGTTTTAGAAATAACTGTCACGAAAATGTCTCTCTCTAATTAAACTTAATGCTTTGAATAATTCCCAGAGGATGTAAGGCTCTGGTTTTAATCATGAATTAAACAAAGGTCCACAACCAGCAAGAATGATCTGTATTATTTAATCATGGAGAGCTCTCCGCTAAAACACATATACAGTCTTTATATACAAAGGAACTTTGCTCCGCCCACCTCTAGGCAGTCTGTAAATTTCCACAGTATAGAATGTTTAAATAGGACAGCTTCTAAGTCTCCTTTCTTCTGGAATGTCTGTCTCAGCAGTTTCTAACCCCCTCGCCTCGGTAAGTGGGTTTACACTACATTATCACTCTAACACAGTTCACACATTTATCATCAGTATTGGGGTGAACAATTTTAGTCATAATCATAATTCCTCTATCAATAAC